GCTGTAGGTGCCTGAACTCACATGAGGCTGCATTCACACAAGGGCATAGCTGTCTAACTACCAATTTAGGCACCTAAACCACAACTCAGCCCCACTGGGACTTACCAAACCTCGCGTCATCTTCTGCCAAGTGCTGCAGGTGCCTAAATCCACTCAGGATCCAGGCACTTGCACTAAAAGCAGTTCAGGCGCTTACATTTCTGCCTCTGGACATACATGCTGTGGATATCTAGAAACCTGAGCCCCAGAGCATGCGAGCAAAGTGAGCATGCTCAGAGCTGACCTGTTGGCTCAGACTCCTAGAGGAAAGAGATCACAGAAAACAGCTGTGGGGAAAGGGAGAAAGGGGAAGACAAGACACGTGCTTAACTTTTTGTTCAGTGGCAAGGATATGCGCCTCAAATCCCTCTCCACACACACTGCTCTAGCTACTGAGTTACGGGCTATTCCTATGGAAGGCTGCCTTGGACTCTTGGGTTGAAGCTACTGCACTGTGGATTAACGCCAGAAAGTCAGAGCAGAACAGATAAGCATGAAAATGAACGTGTGCCCTGGTGGTTACAGCATTCACCTAGGAGGTGGGAGGCCTCAGATCTAGTTTCTTGAGCACTAATGACTCTAGAATTAGTTCTCCCCAGTGGAACAACTTCAGCAGATGAGGCAGCCCCATAAATAAATCTGCCCAAGTGCAATGGTTAGGGACACTCACCTGAAAATTAGCAGATCCCTGTTGAAACACATTTTCCTAGGTGGTGAGGACGATTTGTAGTGGGGCATTCCGCAGCCCTGGTCAGTGCACGAACCGCTGACTAGACTAAAAGTCTTAAGAAGGCCTGCCTCCTTCTCCAGCCTGTTTCAATACATCGGTTCAGTGCCTAACTCCAAAGAGGGTTCCCAGGTGGGACTTGCAACTAGTGTTGGTTGTCTGTCTCAGGGCTTAACAGAAATCCTGCATCAGATTCTCCTGTCACCTAGCTCAGGCACCCTGCCTCTTGTGCTAGGTTTTCTGAATGACAGTCTAAGTAAAGGGTCTTGTAGAAGAAGCCTCACCACCTAACTCAGGGATTGTGCATTGTAGTGTAGTTTCTGAAAGCTATAAATTGTAATGCTCAACAAAAGAGCCCTTTTGTAATCCAGGACTTATCTCTTTGTGCCAGCAGGCATGCCTGAATTATACTGCAGTGGTCATGTTTGGCCCTTTGCTAAGTGTTTGGCCAAAGGCATAAATGTGTAGTGGAGAAACTTAAGTTCTGTGCTTCAAATAGATCCATGCAGCTTTTAAACTTTTCAAGGCTGAATGAAGTCCATGCCCAAATCTCATGTGGTAAGGAAATGTAGGACAGTAAGGTTTTTGGGATGTTAGAGATTGGACAAAACAAATTTTTAAGGCGCGTGTTCAGCTTCCCAAATTCCACCCCACTAAAGAACTTACAGCAGAGGTAGGGGAGCGTGCTATTCAATTTAAAGTGAATGCCCTTAATTACTGGCTATGTATTCACCATAGGACTCAACAATGCTTTCTAAGGTTATGTTTTAACAAGATACCGATCCTAAAGTTACACTGGCTTTTCAAATCAGTTGATCTCCCCATTCCTAAGGCTTCTCTGAACTTTACCTGGCTTGGACTACAGGCAAGAGCAAGAAATCTTAACTCAAGTTTAGAAAAGAAAGTATTTGCAAACAAATGGAAATGGCACTTATCTGTACAGCAGATATGCCCACTGGGCTATGTCCACTCAGCTTTCTCAATTAGAACATATTCATAAGTAAGAGAACTAGTTGGCTAATCAGAACAATAATGAAGGATAGCCTTTATGATAGTTTCTACACCATGCATATATTACACCTCGAAACGAGGTATGCTGTTATTGAGAGCTATAATGTAAATCTTTGATCTCATTGATCTGGCTAGGCCAATGATTTAATCACATTTTCTACATGCGTGTAATCTGAGGAGATAAATCATGAGTTCCCTTTCTAGTGCAAACACTATTTACTGCACCAGCTCAAAAACTAGATATCTTTTTCAGTAGTTGATTATTTGGATTATTGCCCAATTGGCTGCAAAAACAAGAAAAATAGTGAGTGAAGGGTTGCATTGTATGACCCCCAAAATGTCTTTTTGTAATTTACTTTTATATTTTTGAGAGCACATTTACACAGCAGGCAAAAGTCGAATTAAGCTACACTACTTCAGCTTCGTCAATTGCATAGCTGAAGTCAAAATAGTTTTATTCAGCTTTTGGTGCTGTCTACACAGCAGGAAATCAAAGGAAGAACACACTTCCTTCGACTTCTCTTACTCCCGTAACCCTCATTTCACAAGGAGTAAGAAATCCTCCAGCTTGCCATTATTTCAAAATAATGGCTTGCTGTGTAGATGTGCTCTTTGTTATTTCAGAATAATGTCAGTTACTCCAAAACAATGCTACTGAGCAGACATACCCTGATGGTGCAGAGTTGATTTTAAATATACAATTAATTTTAGAGAAAGGGTTGTTGTATGTTTTTCATTTTCATTTCTCCATTTTATTGAGTACTGTTGATTTTAAAACATGTATTTATTTTGTGCAAATTACATATGCATTTACTTAATCCTCATAGCCCAAGCTACGAGGATATGTTAATAAATTTGATTTGATTTTGCTGTAGGAGCATCAATGTGAGGTCATGTCAACTCCATAAGTGGAGAAACCAAAAACTCTCAGAGTCACAAACAGGGAGGATAAGAGAACCGCTACAGCTCCAAATCACATCTATTCCAATTATACGTATAAAGGGATAATTTTATTGATTACATATTGTAGAGCTGACAGCAGATACATGCAGATAAACTGTTGGCATGCAGACTAGGAGAGTGATACAACTGTTAGGAGGTGAGCACTATCTTTAACCATCCTCACTGGAGATCCCTCTATGACCCATTTTACTGGTTTTTTCACAGGTCCTTTGGTGGCTGAGGAGCCAAATGCTGGAGTCACAGGCTTGTTGGTAGACTTTGCAGGTGGTGTTGACAGAATTGAGCCACAACTGCTGTGTGACAGTTGTCTTTCCTGGCATTTTCCTGTGGCCAGGACAAGACAGTTTTCCTCAAGTGGATGTTCCGTCTCTGACAAGTCTTTGCCAGTTCTCCCAATCCTGGGCTGCTATATCCCAGTGTGAAGTGTCGGTGCTACATCTCTTGTTGTTTATCTTGAGGGTGTCTTTAAAGCATTTCTTTTGACCTCTCCATTTCCTGTCTGCTTTGGGGAGTTTGGCGTACAGCAGGTTTTTGGTAAGCGTCTCTCAGGCATGCACACATCGTGCCCGCTCCACCTCAGCAGGTGCTGGATAATCAGGGCCTCAGCACTGAAGATGTTGGCTTCTGTGAGGACATTGACATTAGTGTGATGATCCTCCCACTTGTTGAGGATCTTTCGGAGGAAGTGCTGGTGCTGCCTTCGGGGTGTTTCCTATGAGTCACCCACGTTTCATAGCCTTAGAGGTGAGCTGCTGGGAGTACAACTACTTTAGAGATGAAAAGTCCAGTGTGTGTTCTGAGACTGTGATTGTTGAACCCCTGGTAAGAGAGTCTGCTAAAGACATGGCAGGTGCAGCAGATTCCGGGCTGAATCTTAACGTCTGTCTGTCCTCTGAGAGAGGTGGCTGCCAAGATTGGAAAATGGAGAATATGGTGCCTGTTTTTCTTTGTCAGAGTAGCTCTCCCTTGCTGGGTTCGATGATTTCACCAGTAACTGGCTGGGGGAGAACTTTTGTTTTGCCAATGTAAATCGGAGTTAGCCATAGGCTTTTGTAAGCTTCCGAGAAGCAATGAAGGGCTCTTTGAAGATCCTCCTTTGAGTGGCAACAACAGCACAATCATCTGTGTACTAGAATTCGGTTATCACTTTAGTTCTGGCATAGAGATGAGAAAGGCTGAAGAGGCTGCCCATCTGTTCGATATTAGATGCCAATGCCCTGTGGTAGAGACTTGGATTGTTTCCATAGCTAAGAAAAAGGAGCAAAGGGCACGTGCCATTGCACAGCCTTGTTTTACGCCAGTTGGATGTCAAAAGGCTTGGAGGCAGAGCCACTGCACAGTATGGAGACGGTTATCTGGTCGTGGAGATACATGCAGATAAACTTTGTTTAAACTTGGCATGCAGATTAGAAGAGTGATATAACTGGTAAGAGATAAGGACCATCTTTAAGCAGGGTAGAGAGGAAGGAACAGGCTTTCCCCTACTGAACATGCTGGTATGGGGAGTTTTGTAAGAGTCACTACAGCATTGGTAGTTTTCTTGGTCCATTTGGAGTAGAGGGGAGCTGAACGCTAGAGCCTGAGAAAAGAATTAACTTGAACTGGACTCATGTAACTTAGCAGGAATATGGGAAAAGGAAGAGAGACCTGGTTTCCTATCTGCCTGTAACACCACGACTGGACTCAGTTCCCCAATCAAACATCTGCAAATACAAAAAAATGTCTCTTAAAAATTCAGTCCACACTGGCTGGAGTGCTCAGGTAGTGAATGGCAGGAAGGCCAAGGTGCCTCCCCTGTGCAGATAGATGATCGTGCTGCATGCTGGAGACCCATCCATTGTGCGGTATGCCCTAGACAGCAGCCACCTCACTCTTCCCCATTTGCCCCGTGCAGGTTCTTTATGCCACCGGTGGGATGGGTGGCTGGTTCTCTTAAAGGTGGGCACCGGTGTAATGAGTTGTTCACGCTGTGTAAAGTCTTTAGGAGCCACCTGAACCCTCTTCCCTTGTCCTCCGGTCATGTCTAGCAAGCAGGCCAGTCCCAGCCCTGAAGGACTGAGACAATATACATCAGGAACTGAGACTCCAGAATTTCCAGGGCCACTTTAGGGCTCAATTCATCCCCAGGGCTGGCTGCAGTTTCATTTCCACACACGAGGGAAGCTGAAGGGAGCAACTCAAACCACTTAGGCCAGCAGATGCCTGAAGCAGGCCTGAGGCTACTTGTGGCAGTGTGAACACCCTCTCCATCAGTACCAGTTTTGCTAAAACCTCCTTCCCGGATAGCAGGTGTGATCTGCAGATGAGGGTTGGATTTCTCTAAGTGTTTCTTGGGAGAAGAGAGCAACAGTTACACACTCTCACAGGCAGCAGGTACAGTTACAACTTTGGAATTCTCTGAATGTCTGATTCACATTTTCAGCATTAGCAAGTCCATGGAAACCCCCATATTCATATGCTACAATTACAAACACCATTTCCCCAGTGCTGACAATATTTACAAATAGGTTCTCTATGTTACAGCTGTTCTCAAAAGTGTGCAACTTGAGTAAAATATGTTTCCTGAAATCAATACTATCAGTTTAATAATACAATCAGCTCCTATTGCACTCAGATTTTGGGGATATTTCCCCACTAGGTTTCAATGAGGATTTCTCTGTTAATCTCAGATGTGTTAAGATAAACCACAACCTACAGTTACTGACATTTACATTCATTATTTACAGCCAGGGAAATGGTAGTGAGGTTGTTTCTTTTCAAAAACAGGAATCCAAATATGCCTTGAAACAGTGAATGAATAGTCCAAACTACCGGCCAGAGCAGCTGAAGCCAAGTTCCTGCCTGAGCTCTCCAGGCCCCACAATGTCTGACTTTCACAGGACACTGCTGTGGAGAGAAGTGGCGCTGGGCACTCCAGTGCACCTGGTCCACTGTTGAAATGCTGCTCATGCTGGGTGCAGACAAGCTTTGACAGGAGCAAACACCATTGGTGATAGCAAGGCGGCTCTCTGTGGTCACCCTCAGCCTTGGGGATGAGGGGGTTAGAGGGAAGGGGCAGTGGTTGCATTTGACTTAACTGGTTTTACTTTTGAATGTCAGAAATATGGTTGGGGGCAGGTGAGGTTTGGGGCTTGAGGTTTACGGCTGCCCAAATGGGGTGTTACTGTTTGCAGGCAGATGGAGGAATGGCACAATGCCTAGCCCTGGATGAATGCCTCTAAGACTGTGTCTACACTGCACCGTAACTCGAAATAAGATTTGAGCTACTCAAATTGTGTATCTTATTTTGATGCTATTTCAAAATAAAGCGCTATTCCAAAATGTCCCTTTATCCTCCTAGAATGAGGTTTAACAGGGATGTCAGAAGAGCGAGCCAAAAATAACGAGCTTGCTGTGAAGACGCGGACTAGCTATTTTGGGATACTCTGATATCCCGAAATAGCTTTGCAGTGTAGACGCACCTTATTTGAGCATGGCCCATTTCTGCTCAGTGACATGGATGGCAACACCTCCTCTGTGAGAGCTCTGCCTCAGCAACACGGAGCCTCCCACCCAGACTCTGTGCAGACTGAGGGGAGCTGGCATGATGGGCCATGTTCCACAGCATAGGACAGAGGGGCTGTAAGCTCTGGCCTGAGATCATTGCAGACTCTGATGGCTGGGTTTTCCCAGGGCCCTTAGCCAGTTCGTTACCTATGCACGTGAGGTACTCTCCTTCTGAAGTCAGTGGGCTGAAATGTATGCACATGCTTAGGAGCGTCATTAGAGAAAAGCCAGACTAGAATCGTAGAATGGGAAGGGACCTTGAGAGGTCATCAAGTCCAGTCCCCTGCAAATACAATTTTTTGCTGCACAACATCTCTGAGAGGGAGGCTGTGAGGGCTGGAGTACATGGCAGGGACTGGCATTTGATGTCCTCCCAGCTGCCCCAGTAAGGTTTCAGTGAACATCTTGGACTGTGCCTGCAGCAGCCAAGTGCTCAGCTGAGACAGGGACTAAAGAACGGTTCGGAAGGACCCACAGAGCCTGAGCTGAGTCTGTGACCCTGGAAGATGCTGAGGAGGGGTGTATTCAGGAACAGCCACAGCACAGACACCTTTGACAAGCCTGGGCCGAGCTGCAGCAAGCTAACATCCCTGGCTGGCTGTGGGAATGGCTTAAGTTCCCTGTAAGCACAACAAGGCTGAAGGAGCTCCCTGCCTCTCCCCACGGGGGCAAGCTCAGCCAGCAGCAAGCCTGGCCTAGGCTGGGACAGAGGCCCAATGGCAGCTGCTTTAACAGGGGGGGTTTACTCATGGCAGGTGCCCTGGGAGCCATTCCCCAAGGTACCACAAATGACATGGCCCACAGACTAGCAGGGATTTAGGATCAGAGCTGTGGGAAACTGTAGCCATGAATCTTGGCAAGCGAAGGGCGGAAGCCGCGAACAGGAAGAAATATTCTATTGTAAGGATAGGAAGGAAGCCTTATGCAGTGCTGAGAGTCACGCTCACACACAGGTGCAATCACCCTGCCCAAGAGAAGGAAATCAGCCACACCAGATGGGGTTGTGCTGTAAGTCCAGCCAGCTGGCCTGGGGAGCTCTGTCCTACTGCCTCCAGTGGAGCACACTAGGAATGGGGGTCCCTGTGTTCAGAGCATCTCTGTGTCCAGCTGCAGTGGGGCATGGCAGGTGTGCAGAGCATGAGCATTGCCAACGAAACTGGGTTCCAGCCTCCTTCCCTTTCAGGGGCAGTGGCTGCAAGGGGGAGGAAACACTTATAGCAAGGACATCCTAGCAATGGAAGGCACAGAGTCTCCTGCAGTTGCCTCAAAGCTCAGGCTAAATTGCCTGCAGGATTCCCTTTGCCCCAGCAGGTGCTGGGAGGTAGAGAGGCTGAAGCAGGGGCCCCAGCTACATGAGGCGAGAGGGACAGCATCAAGCAGACCTCAGGGCCTGAGCCCCCCTGATGGGCCAGTCCCCCCTGCAGCAATACAGACTCGTTCTCAGATGCAAACTGCTCCTCAGAAGCCAACAGTTTCCCAGGGAAGCTCTGAGATGTCATTTAGTGAGAGTTGTGTTCTGGGAGCAGAGCACCCCATCCCTTGGCCATGCCATGCACCACCACCCCTGCCCCACTGACCAGGGTGGGAGCCATGTAGCATCTCCCCCTGCCACACAAAGACTGGGCTGGGAGCCATGCAGTGCCACTCCCGTCCCCCACTGACAGTGCAACGGAGTCTGCTTCTGTCCCCTTCCCCTCTCCCCGCTGGGGGAACGTTAACCTTAAAAACATGTCTACAGTGTTCAATTATAACAGGGTCCCAGCTAGAGTGCAATGGCTCCCAGCCTAGCCAGAGGCAGGACACAAAGGTAAAGGCAACAACCTCGTCCCGATGCATGACAGGGAGATTCAGGAACAGCCCCTGGCCAGAGGATAGTGGGAGGAGGTGGAACAGCCCCTGGCCAGAGGATACTGGGAGGAGGTGGAACAGCCCCTGGCCAGAAGGCAGACAGGGAAGGGTACTGGCTGTCTCTTGCAGGGCTGGAGAATGGTTTGAGCAAAGCATCCCAGATTTGCTCAATGCACATTTGTGCTCCCTCCCAGAAGCCCTTTTTGGAGACGAGGGTTCTGCCTTCGAGGGCAGAGTGCAAAGCTCTCTTCATGGCCCTTAGTGCATGGCAGTGAGGCTGGGAGGGTTGGGGCCAATGGAGCCTGGAGCTCTGGCTGGAAAGCAGCCAGGTCCAAGCTCAGTGAAGGTTCACTGCTGTTTTGCTTGGCCCAGGAGGAGTAAGATGGCCTGGCATGACTGTGGCAGGACTGCTGGGGAAGAACCTAAGCAATGTTCTGTTGGGGTAGTGTGTTCCTCTGACATGGTCAAAAAAAAATCTGGGAACTCATGTGCTTTCCTGGTGCAAGGGGTGTTTGCTGAGCACTACAAAGCAGCAGATGAAGAATAATGCAAATTCTCATCGTGACACTGAAAACTTTCAGACGTGGAACGACGTGGTTCCTTTTGAAAATCCAGATGTACGGGGCAGCTGTGAGAATCGATTGCATTGTGTTCATTGGGGTAGCTCTAGAGTTCTTTATAAATTACAGTGGTTAATGGAGGGTACGTTTTTGTACTGCCATTATTACAGCAGGCTGTAGAAGCAGCGGCCATGGACACAGAGGGGTTTCCATGCTGACACAGACCTAAATTTCTGAGGAGACAGATCCAGTCTCAGTCCAGAGATGAGAAGTGGGGCTCCCCTGAGAGACGTCTCTGCAGACTTCTGGCAGAGAAGGAAAATGTTCTGGTTCATCTTCTGTCCCACACAAATCGCATCAGAAAACAGACTTCAGGCTAGCAGAAGGCTTCATTGCATTTACAAGGCAGGAATGACTCCCATGAAGCTGGAAACATCCTTGGTTCTTGCCCCTTGAAATGGAGTGTTCATTTGGTGAAAGGAAAGAAGTTCATCTCCTAGAGGTCATCCGGGTGGAGCGGGAAATACCCTAGAAGAGAGAACCACACAACAATCCATGGTGAAGAGCTGCAGAGATCTGTTCCTCTCCAAAAGCAGTATGTGCCAGAGGAACAATCACCACCTAAACCTTTACCTCCTTCTCTACCTTCCCCCAGGGTGCAAATGCCACAGCCTCATGCCCCAGACAGGGCAGCTGGGAGGGAGATCTGACTGTAGTAAGATGAAGGCCTAAAACAAAAGCCCATGCAGCACAGGCCTGGCCTGAGGCCTAGCTAACAACAGACAAAACATGGCTAACATTAAGCTGTGAGCAAGAGACAGGCCTCTGGTCACAGAACTTGGCACAAACAGAGCTGAGAGTGCAAAACACTAATTAGTAATAAGCCAAGGTGCAGAAAAATAATTGGTACTGGTCATAAGTGAAAAGTACAGGATATAACTAGCTCATTAAAAATACCACTCCTCACAGATACACACCCAGGTTCAGGAAAGGGTCTAAAATGACAGCATGATGGATAGAGAAGATCTACTCAAACCACGAGGTACAGGGTGATGGGTGATGGTATCTAAGTAGCGTCAGAGGATGGGAACCTGACAACATTAGAGGGTGGCAGCCTGATACGTCAGTGAGATGTGATTTTTTTATACGTTTATATAAGGTGGTGCCTTGGGATGACCTAGGGGGCAGTGGAAATTTCCCACTGATTGAGTCATTCCAATGTTATGGGGTACAGATGCGTATAGTGGTTCAGTAGAGACTACTGACAACTGTTACTGTACTTCGCTTAACAATAAACCTGGCCTGGCATATTCTACCCTTATGTGGTTTGTAGTCTTTGGGGGCTCTCTTGGGGTCTGCTGCGGACACTAAATTGCACAAGTTGACAGCACAAACCATTGGGCACACACACAAGCAGCCTTCTGGTTCTCATCATCAACAGAGCCAGAGACCTGTGAGGAGGACTCAGCAGTAAATCCTGACTGCCTCCTGAATAAATGCACTGATCAGTGGAACCTGCCCCTTTCTGAATTTATACAGGAACAGCTCTGACATGCCCCATCATGTCCTTAGGCTTCCCATGATAACAGGGCATTGTCCAGGGACAGGCAGCCTCCAGGTTTGTATCTGGTATTTTCTCTGTGTTATGGGATTTATCCCATAGGGACCTGGGAACACAGTCCCTCTGTGAATCACACTGGGTTTATCTTGTACATCATCGCCAATCAAAAATAAGCCCTCAGCTAAATCTGTGGAGCCCCATCTTGTGTAAATCATGACCTGAATGACACCTGTACACTGCTACAGGCTGAGGACCGACTGGCTAAGCATCAGTTCGGCAGAAAGGGGCCTGGGGATTACAGTGGATGAGAAGCTGGATATGAGTCAACAGTGTGCCTTTGTAGCCAAGGCGGCTAATGGCATATTGGCCTATATAGGTATGAGCACTGATCTAGGGAAGGGATGATTCCCCCTTTTTGGCTCTGGGGAGGCCACATCTGGAGTACTGGGTCCTTTACAGAAAGGATGTGGACATATTGGAGAGAGTCCAGCAGAGGGCAACAGAAATTATGAAGGGCTGGAGCACATGACCTACAGGGAGAGGCTGAGGGACTTGGGCTTATTTAGTCAGCAGAAAAGAAGAGTGAGGGGAGATTCGATAGCAGCCTTCAACTTCCTGAAGGGAGGTTCCAAAGAGGACTGACAGTGGCTGTTCTCAGTAGTGACAGATAACAGGAGCGGGAGGTCTAGGTTGGACATTAGGAAAAACTATTTCCCTAGGAGGGTGGAGAAGCACTGGGACGGATTACTCAAGGAGGGGGTGGAATCTCGATCCCTAAAGGTGTTTGTCCCCCAGCTTGACAAAGCCCTGGCTGGGTTGATCTTGTTGGGGTTGGTCCTGCTTTGGGCTAGGGGTTGGATTCAATGAGCCCCTGAGGTCTCTCCTAGCCTTATGAGGCTATGAATGCCATAAGCCTTAGGGGGTCCCTGTGGGAATATTTGGGCTGCAAAACAATTCCCATTAGTGATCTTGAGCCATGGAGACAATGCACGTGGAGCAGCCTGATGCCATCTGGCAGGCCCTTCGCAGCAGTCACACTAAGACGCACAGAGCTTGCTTACTCGGACTGGCAGCATACATTGAGAAGACCATACCCGTGCCTGGTATCTCTCATCTCGACATGCCAGTGCAGATGGGCTCTGTAGGAACAGCAGCCAAGTGTCCCACAAATCCCATTGTTGTGAGTGCCCTGGCAGTGTGTCTCAGGCTTGGCTGTGCACATGCTCAGGCCACGTCTGCTGACCGGGGAGCGCAAGGCTCAGGCTGTTAAATTGCTACTTGGGCTCAGGCAGGATCCCAGGCCTTGGGACCCCGTGAAAGGGAGGGTCCCAGAGCTCAATCTGCAGCCCAACCCTCAACGTCTGCACCTGCAGTTCAAGCCCTGCAAGCCAAGATGGAACTGCAGTGCCCGCAAATCCCTCAGAGTTCACTGGGTGGGGAAGGAAGCGGTGCTTGTGAGAGCATTTCCTCACCACCCACTGCACCAAACACTGACAAATGAAACTCAATGGCCAGAGACCCTGAAGCCAAACCTGTATCCACTGGAAAGCTCAGAATGAGGCAAAACGGGGGATGTCACCCAAAATGATTTGTCATCTGTGGGGGGTTTGCTTTTCAATGAACACTGAACGGAAAGAGCTTGGGGCAGCTCCAACACTGCTCCTCATCCTCAATCGCGCACAGAGAGCAAAAACAGCCACCTGGCCCTCCACCCACATCCCCCAAGCACATGGGAGGAAACAGCCCCCACCCAGCAGTAGTGGCAGCCCCAGACCTGACTTGACTATATGGGGAATATCAGAGAAGTTGCAAATCTTTGAAGTAAGAGCCTCAAGCATCTCCTTTGGTCAGTTTAGTTCTCTTTAGAGCAGTGATTGGCCTACCTGGTCCTCTGTCTTGCTGCCCAGATATGCATGGGGGCTGGCCTCAGGGCCCTGCTGCAGCTCCATCTGCAACACTGGCCTTTTCCCTGGAGTCTCAGCCTGGAACAGATGCTCAGAAGACCCATATTGTTTTCTTCTGGAACTGGGAACAAACTCTTTGCTTTCTTCCTGTCATGATAGGAGCATAAAGATTGGAAATCTTGTGCTGTTCAGTACAACAGAGTGTGTCTGGCAGGTTTGCAGCAGGAGACGTCCTGGCTAATTTAGCTAATGTGACCACTTGCCCACAGTGAGTTTCAGCATCCATTGTGCTGCCCAATCTCACAGAGGCATAAAGCCCAGGAAACCTTTACTCATGAAAATAACTTGGCATCATCAGCAAATGACTTGCTTCCCACATGTGCTCACGGTAAACCCAGAGTGCAGAATAATCCAGCAACAGCACCATTCACCTTGCTTCGGGGCAAACTGCATCATTTTCAGTGAATATTTCTCAGAATAAATAGTGTTCTGAAGCAAGCCTGATGCGGAGCATTAAACATGTAGCTCAGATCCTTAGAGATACCTCAGCATTGCTTTAAGTAGGGCTGCAATAAATAGCTCCCACGTGCCTGGCAACTCCGTTGCATTTCAGCCCATGCTAGGTACCCAGGCCCCTCATGAGCTGTGGATATCGGCACTGGCATCCGTGGATATCTGCAGCTACAAAGTGGTTCTCTGCAGATTTGCAAGGTTCTTCCCACAAGGTAAGTATCCAAGAAAGGGTCCTCTGGTGCCAGGCAGCTGAGCAGGGATCCGTTTAGGCCAGCCAGAAGTGAAAGGTTAAGGAGGTGATAGGGAGAAGAAAGGGACATAAATGTCTCTGTGGCTGATCTGGCATCTTTCTCCACTCAGGATCCGGAGCCATGAATGCTTTCCTGCAGCCACGGACCCCTGTGCCCAGATTATCAAAAGGTATTTAGGAACCTATTTCCCATAGAAGTCAAGTATCTAAATCAGAGGTAAAAGCAACTTAAATTTCTTACAGGTACTGTCCTTTTGCAACCCATCCCCTTGGGGGGGTTCTTCTTAGGAGGCATTTTTTCCCCCACTTACTTTCTACTGTAAACTACATCTGACACGGCAGGCTAATCTAATAAGGCTGGGGGAAGTTGTCCCAATGTCTATTTATACACTGCTGTGTCTAGATTGGCATGATTTTCCGGAAATGCTTTTAATGGAAAAGTTTTCTGTTAAAAGCATTTTCAGAACAGAGTGTCTAGATTGGCATGGATGCTTTTCTGCAAAAGCACTTTTTGCAGAAAAGCATCTGTGCCAATCTAGACGCACTTTTCCGCAAAAAAGCCCCGATTGCCATTTTCGCGATCGGGGCTTTTTTGCAGAAAACAAATCTGAGCTGGCTACACTGGCCCTTTTGCGCAAAAGCTTTGCTCAAAAGGGACTTTTGCTTGAAAGGGAGCAGAATAGTATTTCTGCAAGAAGCACTGATTTCTTACAGTAGGAAGTCAGTGCTTTTGCAGAAATTCAAGCGTTCAGTGTAGACAGCTGGCAAGTTTTTCCGGAAAAGTGGCTGATTTTCCGGAAAAACTGGCCAGTCTAGACACAGCCTGAACGTAAAACTGCTTTATTTCACAAGGGGATCCACCATTACTATTTGAGCGAGACCCAGACAGTAGGATTACATCACATCAGACCAGATGTGAACATATTCCCTGACAAGTACAAACTGAAACCTGAAGAGGATTTGTAATGTAATGTAAAATATACATAATTAAAGCAGTAACTCTGATTTTCTGTTATTCATGCAGTTTCATTCCCATTGGAGTGTGTGGGAAGGCTTAGGGCAGGAGGTCTGGGGTACAGGAGGCTCAAGTAGGGTGTATGTGGACATGTGTGTGGAGGAGGTGCAGGAGTCAGGCTTGGGGATATACATAGTTAGTATTCCAAATTTGGGGTAGTTTAACTCAAGAATCCAGGGGAGGGATAGCTCAGTGGTTTAAGCATTGGCCTCCTAAACCCAGGCTTGTGAGTTCAATACTTGCAGATGCCATTTAGGGATTTGGGGCAAAAATTTGTCAGGGATGGTACTTGGTCCTGCTGTGAAGGCAGGGGACTGGACTTGATGACCTTTCAAGGTCCCTTCCAGTTCTAGGAGATAGGCAATCTCCATTAATTAATTAAAATCCCTAGGGGGAAAAAAAACCCAAAGACTTCTCTTAAAGTTGACCAATATACTTTTGCCCTGACCTGGAGCTCAAACCAGGGCTTTGATCATATTACGAGGGTCTTACTCACTTGAGGTTTGCCCTCAGAAAGTGTACGGTCCTACGGTCCCTTTGTTGTTAGCAAAATAGTTCACTTGTCCAGGTAGCCTTGTGCCTAAGGCTCATGATGCTGAGTGGATTATACCAGGGCTGAGTCTAGACTGGCAAGTTTTTCAGAAAAACTTGCCAGCTGTTTACACTGGCCGTTTGAATTTCCTCAAGAACACTGACAATCTCATGTAAGATTGTCAGTGTTCTTGTGGAAATACTATGCTGCTCCCGTTCAGGCAACCTGCCTGCTGACTCACCTGGCTGTGCAGGCCAGCAGCAGGAGCCTGGCTGGAAGAGTGCATCAAAAGCTGCATGCCTAACCAGCTCTTTAAACAGCAAGCCCCACCGCCTCGTTAAACAGCTCCCTGCTGGCTTTGCCAGAGTGGCACACCCTCTTTCTTTCACTTTTTAGGGTCAGGGCTCAGTTCAGCTGCTTGGCTAGCCCATGTCCTAATTTCTGTAACCATTTCTCTCTCTGCTTCTTGCTCATACTTGATCCCTCTCTTATGTGTGCCCAACACCATCCTATGGCACTGGTTTCTCTTCTGCAGGTTCTCAGACTTAGGCCTGCTCAGAAAATGTTAACTGAGTAAGGCCCCACTAGCAAGCCATGCATTTGCCTGCCTAGTTTGAGAATTTGGAACGTACGGAGCTTCAGCAAGGACTTGGAGCAGCTCAGTAGCTGAGGCAGAGTCAGTACTTTGGAGGTTTTACAAATCCTGACCAGTGGAAACATAGGTACCCATGGTGCTTTGGTACCAGCTGAGTCACAGCTTTCAAAATGCTAGTGGCAGCTACGTGGTGCACTTAGGTGCCAGCACAGCCAGACAGGCCTAGAGGTTCAGCTTTCACGGATAAAGAACATCTACAGCTCCCATTGATTTCAAGCAGGTAGCCTAAAACTGGATACCCTAAAATTATCAGCTCTCTTTGAAGACAGGAGTCTAAACTACCACTTAACGAAACAAAGAAGAATTAGAATATGCTCCATCTGTGCAAAGCAGCTGGGTATAGGTTGCTGCTAGAAGCAACTTTTCCATTTCTGGACTTTGTGGTTGCAACTATGCAACATTCAAGCCACATAAACTCTATGCATTTTGTTTGTTTTAAAGAAAGACAAATTATCTACTGCCACTGAAGAGTGCGAGTTTATTCAGGAGTCCAGTCAGCCCCACCTACCCTAAAGCCTCTGGGATTCCATTCCAGAAGGTGAATTAAGAGGGCGTTATTGCTGTTATTTGACTGGAAACCCTTTTCTTTCTTTCTTTCTTTGTAGGAAGTTTCAACAGGAGTACAGACCACTGTTACGCAATCATCAGCAGCAGAATGTTCATCATTACAGTGCTCATTTTTTGGGAGCAAGACCATTTCTGCTAGGGTGATTATCAATGGATCATTCGGGAATAAATATCCAAGAGTTTGGAATATAGCAGACCCTTGATTTTATGAACATGGCTAATAAACGACTAGTTATACGAGCCACTTTTCCTGCTGGGAAAGTCATGCTGAGAGTGCTGTCAACTTTCTAAGGGTATGTCTACACTGCAAAGTTAATTTGAAATAATAGCCGTTATTTCAAATTAACTTTAATAGCGTCTATACATGCAAACCGCTATTTCGAAATTAATTCAAAACAGCGGAGCGCTTAATTCGAATTTGGTAAACCTCATTCTACGAGGAGTAACACCAAATTTGAAATAGCTATTTCAAATTAAGTGCTGTGTAGACAATTAATTCAAAATAGGGGGCCTCCAGCCCTTCCCAGGGAGCCCTGGTGGCCCCTCTGGGCACAACAAGGAAAACTTACTCTCCCTTTCCTCCAACCCTGGAGCTATTAAAGGGTTAGAGCCTGGCCACAGTGCCTGTGCCAGCTCCAAGCCTGCCAGCCTAGAGCCAACAGTGGCCACCGGGGCCCCTGACCCAGTGGCCCCAAAATATGAGCCAGCCAGCCACTGGCAGGCAGCCCGCCACCGCTTCCCAGGAGCAGTCTGCCAGCTCCCAGGAGCCGGACAGGCGCCTTCCTGGTCCAGGGTGGAGATCATGGACCTTATTCAGGTTTGGGGGGGGGATGCCCCCAACGTCCATGACCTCCGCACTAGACGGAGGAACGCAGCCATCTATGGCAGGATAGCTGCCAGCCTGGCCACCAAAGGCCACATGCGAACCCAGGAGCAGGTTTGCCTGAAAATCAAGCTGGTCCAGCGAGATCCCCAACCCTGGGCCCTGAGCTTCCCCTCCCCCTTCTTCCCCTTGCTTCCCCCTTCCAGCTCCCTCCTCCCAGGGTTCCCCCACCCCTTTCCCATCCACTCTCCTCCCCTCTCCCACCTCCTTTTCCCAGTCTTCCCAGAGGTTCATTCCCCCCCAGTTTTGTTCAATAAACCCAGTTTCTGTTCTTGAACATACGTCTCTTTTGTTTGAAGTGTTGCAGCACCACAGTGCAGCTTATTCACAATAGGCTCAAGCAAACCACATGCATTTTAATATGGTTAACTGCAAACACACATCTGGAAACAAAGAACATCAGCTTTAATGACAGGCTGGGGCCTGTGTCCTGGGAAGCAGGGGCTCAGAAAATGATTGTGGGTGCCTTGGTGGCTCCTCAACTGAACAAGATCTCCTAGCGGAATACTGTGGCCAAAAGGACTAATATGATTCTTAGCTACACAAACCTCAGAGAGGTTATTTGACATCTGTATTTGGCACTGCTGTGACTGTAGCTGGAATCCTGGGTCCAATTCTGGTGTCCACAATTCAAGAAGGAGGCTGATAAATTAGGGACAATTCAGAGAAATCCACAAAATGATGAAAGGATTAGAGACCCTGCCTTACAGCGAGTGATGATTTAGCCTAACA